AGCGATAGGTCTGGTATGTTCCTGATATCTCACAAGTACTTTCAGTTTCTACCGAAGCAAACATTAGCAAGGTTTGCAGTCTTTTTGAGAGTGCGAATATACCGTAAATTTGCTGTGGGCAATGATTTGCAATTGTTGGTGGCATTTGCATACCGGTACATGTAATGTAAATGTAATGCACCACTCAATACACTCTGAAGTACTCTGTGAAGATTAATTGGCTTAATTCAGCCAACCCACTGATTGCTCACTCTACAAAGTTTTTCTGTGTCATATTCAGGAATACTGCCTAAGTATACAGATTAGTATCTGAAGCTGAATCAACTTGCTGCACTCAATAACAGCATGTGCACAGGTACCGTGGGTCAGTGTACCATCTCCTCCATTTACAATGTACAATGTACCGGTATTACAATTTACATGTACATGTATCAATGAATCAGGCCTTGACACTCAATCTATATTCACACATTTAAACAGGTGTCTACCGGTACATGCATGGTAGTGTATGTGTTTTATACATGTACCGGTACGCATGAAACTCCGTACTTCATGTACATGCCACTACAGTAGTTATGCATTTTAAATACACGTACATGTACATGTACCGTAGTACTGGCACATTGGCATTGTCATGAGATCGATTGAAAAATCCTGAATTTCACTGACTTCTTCAGACAATATCCTGTTGTTGTTTCCATGAACATGAATTGAAATAAACAGCTGATTTCAAAGAGCAGTAATTGTTTGTGATGAATGTGATTATCCCTCCCACACAAAAAAATTACGACTGGTACATGTAGCTTATAGTATACATGTACAATGTATGCACAATCTGTACAGGATGTACCCATACTGGTACATGTCCTACTGTAGTACACGTACATATGTACTGTACATATGTACTGTACATATGTACTGTACATATGTACTGTACATATACATGCAGCTTCAGGAGCATCCCTTCCATGCATTTCAAATGCAAATATAATCAGTAGAACAAGTCCAAGGTCAAGACTAATCCAACAAACACTCTGCAATCACAACTGATTCTTGGAAATTTGATGATGCAGTGGTTGGCATATTGTTCGTTTACTCAATGCGTTCCCATTCGTTGTCATTAAGTACCCATACCAACAGTGTAGGGCTGTGCCGAACATCTGAATAACCGAATATTTGATTGATTGTCTGATATTTGAATATTATTTTTCGAATTTGAATATTCGAATGCGAAATTCATGTAAAGGAAGGGAAAATTTTCTGTAGTTTTAGATGAGAAAAATTGCATTATGGACTCTCGTTCCAAGCAGATTTAAATGAAAAGCGTCAGAAATCTTACAACGATTAAGAAGTAAATTACATGTATTCATTGAATAATTTAGAAAGTAGAAATTTTCAATAGGGCAAAAAGTCTTGTTCTGTTTATTGATTCAAGAAAAATCTTAACAGTTTGTTACTTACCAGTGATTTTAACTCATAAATATTCATAGTACTGTCTACATGTATTACGAAAGACCTAATTTCTAATCTTTAACTCCCATAATCTTAAACCAGCTAAATGTATTTCTATTGTATGGAGACAATTTGATATACTGAAACTTATGCTTTGTCAAAAACGTGTAGAAATGAAATGTTCATCGTAGGACAGGGTGCTGGGTCTCGTATAAGGCTCAGCCTTTTTTCCCAGCATCCTACGTCTTCGTTAATTGCATATGAATCAATATAACACTGTATCGTGTTACTCTGATTTTGTTTTCATTGTTCATCTACCTGCAGTGTTAACGAAAATGTGAAATAAACCAAACCCAACCAAACTGGGGTTGTTCCCACAGCTACCATTCCAGCTTGTTGGCACATGTACATGTATGCAGTACTTTCAGGATTCCTTATAAAATATGAGTTATTGTGTAACAGGATACGTCGGCAGCACCACGGCCTCCTTTGTTCTCTACCATAGAAAAAAAAAGTCGGTTTGCTAAACAGAGGGAAATCTTAGGAGACTTGTTTTGTCCCAGTTTCCCAGGAAGTGAGAGGTACCAAAATAGGATGGATCATTGGATGGCATTGATTGCACCTGTGCTTACGTGTACATAGTCATCCATTCTGGTCCTTTAGGACTACTCCTAAAATTAGAGCCACTTTCTGGGAATCTTTTTTATGGTACTCCTTTTTCATTTTTGTGAAAGGCAGAGTTTTTAACTGCCGGAAGAGTTCAGATTGGATGAGAAGATAAGGTTTTGTGTAAGAATGATGTTATTGGATCGTAGAGATGGAGGTTTTTGAGGATTGCACCTGTGCTTACGTGTACATGTACATAGCAACCATTTGCCAACTCAAAAGTTGCTCAGAATAACTTTGCCGATAGCCACTTTACTGTGTGAATATGAATTTACATTTAAATGTACATGAATCTATTTAGGGATTTACATGTATTTTTTCTTACAATTTAACAGGGTTGTTGCACTTTATTGCCTTTGCTTGTACACACATCTGCACACACAGGTGATGGAGTGTATTCTTTATTGTGGTCTGGGAGGCTTTTGTGCTTCTCCTTGGCACTGCATGAAAAAGTTGAACACCAGACATGTGGACAAATTGGTAAAGAAACCACAATAACGAGGTCTACAGAAAAACAGATTACATTTGTTCGTTGTGCAGTTGGGCAATACTTGCTCCTGCCATTAATGTCTGTACCTACATGTACATTGTGTTTGCAAACCATTTGAACTCGGCTTGACACACTCATTTTCTATTAAAATGAAATAACGGATGTGGTGTCCGTGCAGTAATGCTTACTTGGGGGGAGGGTGGCATGCTCAGTATTGTGGAAGTTGATGTAACTTACATACTGCACCCTCCAGCCTCTTTGCTGAGAATAAAGTTGTCAGTGAAATTAATGTCAAAAAGGATTATACTACCGGGGGTAGTACATGTAGATGAAAAATGATGGGGAAAGATAACACAGGGTCCAAAAAAAGAGAAGCCAAAGAAGTTGAGCTGGCTTGTAAAATTTGGTATTTAAATATTGTTTGTCAATGTAAACATTTAAGTTTAGGACCATATGTATTATTTTGTTACTCAATTTGTATTGATTACATGTACATGTGTATTTGGCTTAAAGTTTGTGAAACTTTAGGCTTCTTTTAAAAAACTCAGTTGGCAAAAATTCCTGACCAAAAAGTCTCACAAAACTCAAGCAAAAAATGTTGGTTAAGTACCAAAAGGTTGTTATTGAAATGGATGACATAAATTTTGAAGACACTTGGGCATGTTAGGGAAGAAGTCTTCAAGACAGACCACTTGCTTCTGTGTTAATAATTACATGTAAATCTTGCATGGAAATTAACAGAAAAAAAGGAGTCAATTGGTAAATCGAACCTGTGATCAAAGAGACAGTGGTGTACAGATCAGAAAATTCTTTTGGAAAACTTGGCGGCATATGATACATGTGCACTTCAGTTTACAAGATGAAAGGAAGTGCCCATCTGTAATGTTACTTGCACTGTCAACCATTCTAGCCATCTCTTCCTAGTGGCGCTGAGAGAATTGGGTCAAATCAATAAATGCACATGTGGTTAATGTCTGTTTGAATTCAGGAAATAGACCTTCCTGAATTTTGTGTTGTGTTGATAACATACATACATGTCCCGGTACAGGTATATGTATACATGTAGTTCAGGAAAGTTTCTTCATCATTGGATTGATGTTACATGTACATGTACAATGTACACTATATATGTATATTGTCAGTGGGTGGGAGCCTGAGCAGTGTTGTACCGGTAGCCATGTACAGTGCAGATGTACCGTATATGTACGTGTACATGTATGTACCGAATGTGTGGCTGTGCAAGACCATCTTACTGGTATCATGTAAACAGAGTTTTGTAAGTGACAATGTGAAGTTCTACATCTACATGTACATGAAAGTGTCAGGCTTACATGTCAGGCTTACTGTTCTTATGCACGTCATGCTCACATGGGACCAGACTTCAAGTGCATTTTTCAATTTGTGGTTTCATTGTTTGGGTGATTTCTTATTGAAACTGCCAGCAGAATGCCCACTACTGTAAATTTGTGCACTAATTTCACAAAAATTATGCTCTGATTTCCAAACATACATACATGTACATGGAAATGGAGACAGGTTGACATTGAACAGACTTGTAATGACTCTGGTCTCTGTCTCCACAGAGTGCTACTGAAGTCACAACTTTGAAGCTCAGGACAGGATATGTATAACATGTACCGGTAAATGACTGGACTTAGCGGTACGTGTACAGTGTACATGCACATGTGCGTCAGTGCTACCAAATGACTTGACTTGAGGCAGTAAATGTACATTAGAATGACTTGACTTGACTCGGATCAAGATTTTACAACTCTGTAAAAAGATACCAAGACTACATGTACTGTACATGTACATGTAGTTTTAGATCTACATGTATTTTGTTTGTGGTGCAGTATTTCATGATTGAGTCACATGAACCACATCTCCAGCATTGGAACTGCAAGGGGTGTTTACTCCTACCGGTAGTTTTGTGACATAAGTTGTACATGTATATATCCCCATTCATCAAATGGCAATTTTTAGCAGAGATTTGGTTTTGACTATTTCCAGGAAGTTGCTCACACAACATACATGTACAATGTAGGGTACCGGTAGCAACTACTGTAAGTCTGGCCTGTCCCCATGCCCAGCAAAAATGTACTGGTATTGTTTGATACAAGGCAGCTCTTTTAAACTGAAAATTTGGTCGTGTACATGTAGATAAAGTTTGTACTGGTAAGAAGACTGGTTTCCCCTGAGAGTAATTTCGTTGAGCAAGGAATGCTGCAGCATCCTGTAATGGAATACCCATGTGCTATTGAAGTTTTTCTCTGGTGTGCATGGAAACGTGAAAGAGAATACACCCTGTTTGGTGCAGCTCTTTTGTTCACAGAATTTTATGAAGAAAAAGAAGGGGGGGGGGGAGAATCCTGTCATCATATTTCCCCAAGCAGACACTTTGATCCATTATGTTCTACATTGCCTCATGGATTTCCTGGAACTTGCCACTTCCGGGTGAAAGAAGGCCTGGCGGAACTTGGCTCACGTAATATCAGCTGATTGTCACAGTAGATACAGTACCGGTACCTGCGTACAACGGCTACTTAGCACAGGCATGCTGCTGTTTTGTTATTACCAACACTGAGCTGGATTTTGGCTTCATGTACGTGTACCTGGAGACTGCTCCTTTCTTAACATCCTGGGCAGGTTTTTTTTTTTTTTCAAGGAATCCTGTCTACGTACATCAGTGAAAAGATTCCAACGTTGTTTGTGGTTGTGCAATCTTTTGGGAGCACTGCCTTATTTAGTTCCATCTACTTCATTGACTGTCAACAAGTGACATGCTTTTTTCCCCACTTTAACTGCTTTGGTCTAAAATTTATACGCAAGCCCAAAGACCATCATTCAATGACAATATTGAACTGCACAGTCTTTGTACATGTAAACGTGAGTGATAGGTGTACATGTACTGTACGTTGTTGCAAAGTGTACATAAGTGATAGGAGGAGGTCTGTCCACAGCAAAGACATTTGACTCTGAAATAAGTGAACATGGTGAAACGCTCGTTGGTGCTGTAATTGGATTTGAGAACTTGGTACTAAGTTCTGAATTCTATAAGTTGATGCTACCGGTAGGCTCACAGTTTGCGTTGAACTTGTTCCAGTGATTGGCTTTAAAAAGAAGTTTAACCTGTTGCCGAAGTGTGACATTATACCTGGACGTTCACCACTTTTTTCTACTTGCGACGATACAATACGTGACGGTGTACATTGTGACCATGCTACATGTACCGGTAGTAGCTGCCCCAGGCATGGATACCAGAACAGCTCTCGATAAGACCATATGGGTTGTCGTTGGAATGACGGGGGATTGTAGTGAGGAGAACACGGAGCAAGAGGCCGCAGAGGGAGAACTCTTTGAAGTAAGTCTGGACACGCTGGCCAAATGGTTTGCTGTGTTAAAGGGTACTCGGATACATTTGTGTTTGGGTCTGGGGAATTCAGATGCTAATTGTGTATGATAGCACCAGTACATGTAGGAGTATACCTTTTTGTACATCATGATGTATACGTGTACATTTGTACATGTACCAGTATGTGGACCGTGTACAGCACGGATTCCTTTGATATGAAAAATGCAGTATCTTCATGTGTACAGTATGTACCTTGATGATGGCCTTTTTCTTGGATTTATTGTTTGAAATGATGTGAATACGTGTGTACGTGTTACGGTATTTTAAAGATAATATTTCAATTGAGACTGGTATGTTCATTTGGCCATATTGTACAAAGAGTTCGCTGCATCTTGTACTGGTACATTGTACATGTGTATGGGTAATTCTAGACATTAGGGGTCCATTCTTTTTGTGTGTGTGTCCCTGTCACATCTGACATTGATAATGTAAGTTCAAAAACCTTTTCTAATTTCTAAGAGTGATGAATTAACGCAAATTACATGTACCTGCCAAACAAATACTTTGGACCCCTAATTTGTGGGATTACCCAATCTTTTTTTACATACATATACATACACTGTACCAGTACATGTACATGTACGGTACATGTACATGTACCGGTACATTCACACGTACAGTGTACCGGTACATGTATACACGCATACATGTACATATACATGTTATAAGTATACATGTACATGTACCGGTAAGTGCGTTGCGAGTATTTAGAGTAGAGTACATGTACAATGTAAGTGTACATGTACATGTCTACAACATGTTATATATATACATGTACATACCGGTAGTATACAGGTATACTTATGGCAGGTTCCTCAAAATATGGACCATTAGACCAACTTTGGGGGTTCAGTTTTCCTGAAGTGAACAGCAGTGAATTAATTTCCAATGTTTGATGTAATGAGGGAAGTCATGGCTGATATCTGGAACAATGATGACCGTGTTAACCTTTCAACTTAATTGGAGTTAATTAATTAAAGTCTCGAATGTTAGCAATTTTGAGGGACGTGGTCTCCCTGTTAAAATCCGAGCCAATAGAATTTACTGAGGAGTACACATGTACATGTACAGCACATGTACAGCACATGTATGCACGTGTACCGGGTACACTATTGCAATGTATCGGGGTATCAACATGTGCCTTTCTTTCTGTTGTGACTTGTCAAAGTGCTTACATGTATGTGCCTTAACCTGAAACATGCATTTACACAAATATGTCACTGCAGTACCGGGTACATGTACATTGCCTTGAATTTGAATGCACATATTCATACTGAGCTCTGCCCCCCCCCATGATAACACAGAGACCCAAGGTTTACCGTATCTTGAAACAGTTTCTCCCAGTAGGATTATACAGACTGGCTTTGAGCCCACAACCTGTAGCCCTGCTTGCATGTATATGTACATATGTAGCGGTACATGTACAGTACATGTACCTTATGTAAGCCTGTGAAGATACCGGTACTATATGAACAAAAGCACAATGTCTCTAACGATAACAAAATGTACATACTTAATGTCCCATAGAGATTCAACTTCATTGGTGGACATGAAGTTTGCAGAGAAAACTTCTAGAGCAGGTTTTGTTTAAAGTCTGAAAGTGTACACACTTTGGCTATATTCTCAACTGAAGTATTGAAGACTGGTCCAAATCAAATGTACTTATTTTGTAAAATGTACCGTATTTTTGTGTCTCATCCCTACCCCAGGCCACCCATCTATTTCTGGATCATCTAAACAGAGTACGAGCAGAGTACAATGTGGCACCGGTATCGTGGAAGACGGCTGTGCGCTTTTTAATGGCAAGGAAGTTTGACGTGAAGAGGGCGTTAGAACTGTTCAAGAACCATGCGGTAAGTGACCGGCTGGAATGGCCAGGATTTGAGAGGGTTAGATTCTTTTTCGTCAAAGGATACCGTACATAAACACTGTAGATCATGTTTATTTAACCTTTCGTGTACATGTATCCCACATGTACATGTGTACATGTATGGTGTTTCAGCAGAGATGCATTGCCAAAGTACTCATTTCACAGTTTTGGTGGTTAAGTTTTATGCCGTGTTTTTTGTTTTGCGTACCGATATGTGTACAATTTGTCAAACGCAAAGTGCAGTTTTCCCATTGTACAGAATTGCTATAGCCTACTATGTTTGGAGTTTACCCTAACTGAACCTTGGGATTTGAGAAGAAGATTCAGTGCAAGTGGAGCGATATTGTATGGGACAAGAATCATTTCTCGGTCAGTATAATGAGTGACCCACTTAATAAAATGTGCAATAAGTCAGGAGTGTTGGTGTGAATAGTGGTCACTTGGGCAGATTGAAAAGTTGGTTTGAAACTGATCCCTGGTATTTGTGGTTTGACATTTTCAAGTTATTTTATTAGTACAGTTGGAAAGTACAGTACTGTTTGCATGCACTCTGTAATGTGAGTTGTAAGTGGAATTTCTTTGGGCATTAAGTACCAGTAATCTTTTTCACTGATCTCAAAAGTGTCAGTTTCCTCCATCTTGATAATTTTTGGAGCCGTTTGTTAAAATTTATTCCAGCAGTATCATGTTTTTCAAGCCTACATGTACAATGTACACGTACATGTAACTACATGTACATGTATGCAAATTGTTCAAATTTGTGAAAGTTGACCACATCACCATTATTTATGCAAAAGATAGCAAGCACAGAAAAACAACATGTTTCCTGAACTGTTGAATTTGATCTTCAGATGGTTTTGTCCAGTATCATCTCCATGAGCATGGCCATAACAGGAGAAGGAATTTCACACACTTAAATCAGTTGGAACTGTCATACAAATTTGCATCTCCCTCCCCTCCGGATGGATGGATGGAAAGGCGATCTTTTATCATGCTGTTTTTGTTCAGGTTCTGTTGCGAGACTGGCATTGCAAATGAACTGACCAGGTGCCTGAAAGAAGCATTTCGGACACCGTATAGCTAAACCAAGACTTCCTGGACAAAGGTTTTACTTGATCCACGCGACCTTTGCATTTCCTGTTGTAACTTTTTTGCCTTTTGCTTCTGAGATTTCATTCAGAACTTGTAACCAACCGATTCAGTTGTCAGTCGCGTGTGCCCCAGATGCATATGGGTAAATTTGGCTACAATCTTGGGTGAAAAGTGTTCCTACATGTACATGTACACAACATTGGAGGAATCTAGTTGATTTTGGCTGCACAGATGTGCCCTTTTACTAAAACTTTGGCTGTCGCTGACAATCTACATGGTTGGAACCCTGAAACCCTCAGTCCTCCTGTTCAATTGAAAAAACAGCAACACTGTTTTGAACATGTAGCTTCATTTTCATTTGAAACCTGGGAGACTGTCCAGGACTAGTTTACCTTGAGTTGAAAAAAAAAAAACCACACTCGCATAACAAACAGTGACTCCAACAACACATCTCCTAGTCCAGACACCCCTCTGGCTAAGACCTTGCTGTTGTTGCTTCACCTTAAAGACTCATCATTAAAAAGTATGAAAAAAAAACATGAAATTTACTCTCAAGTACTGGTAGTGCACAAGTTTGTGGCATTCTACTGTATTTGCACTTTTGGTGCAGGTTTAACCCTAACCCTCCTCAATCCTCCAAAATTTTTGGAGGATTTCGGAGGATTGAGGGAGAATCCAATTTTGTTCACCCCGGAAGGATTGAGGAGGGTCCCTAGCAAAAAGGACCTACATGTAAGGGGTTTGGGTTAAAGCCGGTAGCGGAGCACTGTACCCGTACCGGGTACATACATGTACATGTACACATACATGTACAAGTACAAAACCAGTAATGTGAGCAATTTCAGTTTTTATCCTGTACCATGTCTGACCTCTCTCGAAAATCCATGAAGAATTTTTACCACAACACAAAGGGCCTTTCAGTTGTTGCGTTGCCCACATGGCAGTGAAAAGGGATTTTTTTTTTGTTTTGCTGTCAACCCACTGGTACCAAGTGGGTCAACTGCTGGTCCAGACAGTGTTTGTAATGCAGAGCTGCACTTTGAATTGATTTATAGTGTGTTTGACAATTGCACTGAGTACATGTACCCATTACCTGTATATTAGCATTCCATGAGATGATTCCTAATTACCGGGTAGACAAGCAAGCTGATTATGGCTCAGGTTTTATTGGAAGGTGTTATTGCTTTTGGCACCAGTACCCCTGTCCCCAAGCAGTTCTGTAGAATCTATTTGCAGTCAGAATGGTGAACTTTCCTACCCAATAAGAATAGTTGACTATGAAACATTGCGTTCATTGAATGATGAGTTACATGTACATCACACACCAAACAACAGGAACCACAAACTACTGATTACTGGCACACAAGTTCATGTACTGTACATGTGTAATTCTGTTGTCTGTTTTGGAAAGCCTTTAAATTGTTTCTGGTACAGTACTGTACATGTACATGTATGTTTGTCATGTTCCTGGAATTCTTGAAAATATTTGCTTTTTCTGTTCAGCTCCATGTTCCAGTGCATTGGTGCTGTGGTACAGTATATTGGTATGTACCGGTACGTACACGTACATGTACCGGTACATGTACCACACTCAGTGGACATGTGCTGTAGTTTGAATCTGATTTTAAATATTTGTAATGCATATGATTGCCTGAAAATTACATGCAGATTGAAATTACATACCGGTACTGAAATCACGTGTACCGGGTAATCATACATATACATGTACATGTATGCCATGTACATGTACACTACTTGTGTACATGTAAATACTCTTTCTGATATCTGGTGAACTACTCAGTAGTACAAGTCTGCAGCCATGTACCGGCACAGTACCTGTATCATTTTTTGGGGATGTTTAAAAACTGTATTTACTTAGATGTACTTTTATTATCCGTTATGTGCAAGATGACGTCTAAACATGCAGGGATTACCGTACCTGTGTTGAAGCGCAGAGGACATTTAAACATGTTCCAGCAAATTCTGTACATCTTGCCCTGTGATGTCTGGTAGTCCTCATGCTCAAGTTTTTCCCATTGAGTTTGTACACACACACACTGGGTCAAAATGGTTCTTGGAGGTTTAGAGCGTGTACTGTGCTCGAGCGGCTATGCCAGGCCATGGATGGGCGTTGTAGCAAATTTGTCACTCCGCAACATAGCGCCAACAGAATTTTCAAAAATATTAAGACAAATCTTGAACAAATGACTTCAGGGATCAGTATTTGTTTGTAATTTCCAGTTTTATAGAGGACTTATGGTTTGTAATGAGACATGTTACCGGTATCTCTAAAATGGTCTTGCACAGGGAAAGAAATTGTGGAGGTACAAAAATGTACCGGTAGGCCTTCACTTTGTTAAAGGACAATTTCTTTGTTTAGGCATACTGGGACTGATTTGTGGAGACGTTTCTTTGTCCCCATAATGTTTTTGGTCCCCATAGAAATAGGTGAAATTTTGTGTACCCGGTATGTCCTCACAACTAAGGAACAAGACTGTGTGTACATTTCATGTGTATTGAACATAGTCTTCTTTTTAAACCAAAATTCATTAGACTTTTTTGGTGGTTGCTTTTACTTGTAATTTCTGAGGTGTGTTTATAATTCTGGTGTTTTCCATTTGCACTCACAGGCACTGAGACAAAGGGAAGGCCTCAGCCACTTATCACCCACAGAAGAACCACTCAGCAGAGAGCTCCTCAGTGGGAAGTTCACCATTTTGGTAAGTTCTCAAGAAGCTAGTGGGAAGAGTAAAGGGAATTCAGAGCTTTCAAGGCAGTCAGTTAGTGACGATAATGGAATATGAGTCGGGAATGGGCAAGGTAAAGAATGAAGGCTTATGTGTGTGTGAAGATAGGCTGATTCCTTTAATGTCACCTCCTTGGGGCGTTGCTTTGCGGACAGCAACGTTAGACTAAAAAGGCCACCACAGTGGGAGATCTCTTCATGTACAGTGTAGTAACAGCCCAACAGCATCCTTGCTGAGATCCCTTCCAGTACACTCAAACAACTTCCGCCTCACAGAAAGCCAGTGGGAATTCCGTGCACTGAAACTGCCCAGAATTATCAAGCCCCTTGAGTACCAGTAGCTTTGCCCTTCCCCCCTCTCCTTTCAAACCATCCAAAACCTCTCTGCGGACTTTGATGGATCAGGGAGGGTTAATATATTGGTTTGTTTTCCCCATCCTGCTCCTATCCCCCAGCCTCACAGAGACACGACGGGGGCGGCCATCGCGTTGTTCTCGGCCAAGCTGCATGCTCCCAATGCGGTCCCCATGCAAGCCGTCCTACAGGCCGTGGTGTTCCAGCTTGACCATGCGTTGTCAGAGTAAGTCTTCTTCATTTCATCTGCTGCATTAGGCTCTCCTTGGCCAAATCAGTCGTATGTTTCAAATGGGAAAAAAAAGAAGCTACACTTAAAACAATTTTGAAAATTGAAAACCAGTGGAAAACCCTAATCCCTAAGGTATTTTTGTTGAAAAGATTGACTCTTCAATTGTGTAAAATCAATCTTTACTGTAAACCACTGATACATGTACATGTATGTGCTGTACATATACCGGTACCTTGTGCGCTGAGCAGAAATGGGACTTCAGCTCTAGTCGACCAGAAGATGGTAAATTACAATCCTGAATCCATTAAAATTCTGCAAACCCAGGTCTTGTGTTTCAGCAGATGGGGTTACCATTCCAGGAAATGGTACGGTATACATGTAGCCAGATGTTACAGCTATAACGTAAATGCGGGTCCTTTGGTTTGTCTTTCTTACTTAATTAATAGACTTTTCTTGTGTGTGGTTTGGTGGGTGAGGAACTTAATGTGTATGTACATGTAACTTTCTTTATTGGTTTTCACAAAGTCGGTTTTGACAAACTACAGTCTGAGTATTGTTTGGTCTAGTCGATGTGACCCCCAGTCTTGTGCACTGAGGTAAATTTTTGTTAATACTCCTTGGCAAGCTTCGGTCATGAGAAAGTAGCCTTTTTTTTCTTAATTTTTGGGGTTGGACAGTTGGGGTGGGTATTACACCTGTGCAGTGCAGTTACCATTGATCCGTCATCATGTACATTGATGTTGCAATATTCGTTGCTCCTTAAGCGTGGTAAGTGAAGAAATTAAGAAAACATAAAATAAAAATACTGCTTTTCCACTAAAAGAGTCTAATTCCTGCTGACATTTCTTACGAGATCCTATTCATCACTACTGCCTGGAGGGGGAAAACAGTCCCCTTGGCATTTTCATTTCCTCGGTTTGCACAGCAACTGCAATCTCTCCCCCAGATTGTCAGTCCCAACTCATCCGTCAGTTTATCGCCAGCCCATACTGTATCATCCAGGTTGTTGACTGAAGCGCATTGCCTGAGCTGATATGCCACGGTAGATTGTCTGTCACTGCGTTGTTGAAGTATTGATTGGGTTATTAGCCATCAAGATTTCCCGTGAGTCATTCGAGGAAAGACGGGCTTAGCTGGGATCGGAATAGGGATCAGGGTGGCTTAGTGCCTATCACTTTTTAAATGTTGTGCCCGGATTGACAATCGGAATCATTGAGTTGGGGAAATTTTCCCATTGTCAGAAAGTAAAGTCAAATATTTGCAGAGATACATTGTACGTGTACCCAGTCATTCTTTACATTTTGTGTTAAAATGTACCTTTAATAACAAATTTTATTTTTTCTTTTGGTAATTTTGATTCTTGAATGGAAATTAGGAACAAGTAATTGCCAAAGTGAAACTTGTTGTGAGTATTAAAGTTTGTAATTAAGATCACTTGTACATGTACCGGTATGTCCAGGTATGAGTACCAATACTTATTCTTCAAGTTTGCAAAATGGATTGCCATGACAACTGGAAAGAATCTTATCTGTGTTGCGAACAAGTACAGTAGAACGTCGCTATACCAAAAACCGCTATACTGAACATTGAACGGCTGTACCGAACATCGTCCTTGGCTCTCAATAGTTTGTGCACAAAAGCTACCGAACATAATGCAGTTGCAAATAAACCGAGATTCGCCACAGCATGCATCAGAGATCGATCCCGAGCGGTAGCTTCACTACTTTTAGGATAAACTAAATATCAATTTCGTAACTCAAGATTTAATAAATAACAAAAATAATTAACAGATACATTTCTAGAAACTTCAAACGTGAATGCAACTGCAAAACATCACAAAAACAGCGAATCACAGTATTACAAGAGGGTGCACTTCAGTTAGACAAGAAAGGGTGCTATTCAACATGGCAACGAAATGTTTGGCAGTTAATTTCACTATACCGAACAACCGCTGTACTGAACATTTAGCGTGGACCCCGTCGTGTTCGTTATAACGGCGTTCCACTGTATAGATTGCTCAAGTTATTATCATTCACGTGTTGCCACTCCAAATGCATGTCAGACTTACATGTACATGTACGGTACATGTGTAATTATTGTACCACTGTAAAGCTCTGAATTCTCAGGGGGTGAAATTTTGGTCAGACATTGGATATTTTCCAACCAGTTCAATAGTGGGTACCGGTACCTTTAAAAATGGATGACGGGCTACACATGACAGCTCATCTGACCTTGATAAATCAGCAGACTAAAAAATGCCAATGTTTAAGCACATTGTGTGTATTAATGCCCCCTCTGCATTCCTAGACCACAGCTTGAAATCAGGCAGAGAATATTTATGGTTGACAAAGCAGAACTGTCAGTGTCAGGTATAAAGACAGATAGTCTTACTCAGGCTCTGTCCAAAAAGTGCGCTCGTAAAACCACAAACATGCATGTACTGGTATTCATAGTTTTGCACATTCATTTTACTCGGGAAGGAAGTTAAAGGTCTTTTATTTGCCAGTGGTTTACGGGTATATGTGGCCTAGCGAATGTACAATATGCACTGCACGGGTATGCTGTTGTGTAGCAAATAAATGTACGCATACATGTACATGTATGTTCACTCATTTGACAAGAAATTACTTTTATATACATGTGTACTAGCATTGTCAGGTTGTTAATTTTTGTAAATCTGACGTCTGTGTTTTTGTGACCCTGAAAAAGTCCTCAGCAACTATTCACTGGGGATACAGAACTGATGAATTATACACGTATGGGAAAATCACTGGAAAGAAGTTGCCACAAAGTTAAAAGCACTAAAAAAATATTGAAACATCAGAGTCAGTGCTGAATGTAAATGTACATGTACTCAAGATTACAATGGTTGTGGTTTGTTTACTCACCAACTTGAAAAGTAATGACAGAGAAACATACATACCTATACCAAAATCATATCTGAAATAAAATATCTTTTGGGAAAGGTATTCTTATCAGTGCTACCGGTAAATGAACCGAGAATAAACTGACCATGAGGCAATTAGGCAATAAGCCTCATCTCTCCCACAAATCTCCAAAATTTGCACCCCTGAGAACAGAGTTGACACTGTTACCGGTATGGGCTTTCTTGTCGGGAAAAAAGGAAGATGCACAGTTAATGTAAACATAAGCATAATCGAACGGAACAGGAGCAGCCAACGATTTCCCTTGTCTCTGAAATCAGAATCCTTGATTACTTGCAGTCGCTGAACATTTTGTGCTATCAGGTTACAAGCCAGGCAAATGTCTTAATGAAATTGCCGAGAGCAGTTGGGGAGAGAAAAAAAAAGGAGAAAGAGGCGCATGTGCAAGTATGCATGTAGTACGGGCACGTCGGCCTGCCAGCCAGGCTGGCCTTAAATTGTGAATTCCTTCGAAGATGGGGATGTGACACGTTCAAGCGCATGTGGATCTCTGGGCCAGAACTTCTGTTTTTCGCTGTCACGCCTGCCATTTCTCCATTGTCATTCTGGCATGCCGATTCCGGAGAGATTTTGTTTGGCACAATTTATGTTGCCTCTGGCTTCACAAACAAACTCTCTCTTTGGGATGTCTCTACCGAATGGTGCACCAGATGCCAACATGTCTAAGAAAGCCAGGGCTTGTGTATGGCAGTCAAGAATGCTCTGAGATCTTTAAAACAGATGCAAAATGGATATTAATGGAGCATACAAAATACAGGAATCTTTTGAATGACTGTTTTTTCTTTCCTTCCGTTTTGCTTACTTTAGATGTGAAAAAGAATTGTACATGTACATGTACCGGTACATGTATATTCAAAGTTCATAGTGACACCAAAACATTTCTTGAGAAGGTGCAGGTGCATACATTATGTACTTGCACAGTATTTGTTCATGATTCTTGAAATAAGTACGGTAGTTGCAACTTACAGTAGATAATTTTGTGTGATGGGTACGTACATGTACTGTACATGTATATCTCATTGGGCAAATTTGAATATTGATGATATGTACAGTGTACACTGTACAGGTGCATGTATCTTACATTTCAAGTGAAAATGGTGAAATGTAGACAAGTGAGCCCACACTGAGCTTTACTTAATTGGCAACATCCAGTTAGCGATAGTCTCTCACCCTCACATCATTGCCAATCACCCCCTTCATTTGGTGCATACATGTACATGTATATGAACATGTATGAACATGTACATTGTACAATAGTGTACATTTTTGTTCAAGTGCAGGTTCAAATTTAATGTATTTCTTCATGCACACGTACTAGTACATGTATATGTACATGTACCAGTACAGACACCCCTGTACATGTGTATGTACATGTACCGGTCCATATACATGTACAGCGTTCATGTATATTGCACCTGATGTGCGCAAACAGGTATGTGTGCCAGTGTCTGTAAATGGATGAATAGTGAGGATGACAGTAAATGGAAAACCGGTACTTCGCTACTCGCCGTCACCCAAAGTGGGACACCTGCAAGCCATTACTATATGCAGGATCGCTGCAAAGATTGACACCCTGCGAGCCATGACTGTATGCAGGGACGCTGTAAAGCTTTCAGGATGTTGGCGTCAAGTGTGATGCTTGCAATGGTCCGACCTTTGCATCCCTTTGGGGGGGGAGGAGGGAGGAATCTGAAGATGTTTTCCTGGCTCTTGTCGAAATTGCTTTAAAGAAGGATACTAGAGTTGTTATGCAGCGTGACACGTTCAGTTCTGGGCAGCCATCAGTGGCCCCAGTTAAATGAAAAGAAGACAGACGAGTAGGCAGAATGACATTGCTTGGGATAAACTTACAAAGTAAAAGCATGTAGAACCTTGTACTCCTAAAAGTTGCACGTGTTGATGGGTCTGCAGTGGTTGGGTTACATTTTGTGACAATATACAATGTACTTGTACACTATGCATGGGTATTAGGGGGTCCCTGTGAGCAACTACATGTAAATTATTTACATGTTGGTTGTGGTTGTTCTTGTCATTGGTGAACGTTCCAGA